GTCAGGGCAGGCTTAGGTTGGATCTCAGGAAACACATCCTCATGGAGAGGGTGCTCAGGCACTGTAATGCACCGTGGAGTCACCGTCCCTGGAGATGTTTCAGAAAAGTGGGACTTAGTGTCACGGCTGTGTGGTGCTCTTGAGTCCTAGGCTGGACTTGATGATGTCAGAGGTCTTTTCCAGCCTCAGTAATTCTGTGATTCTGATATTCTTAGTGTAACTGGTAGAGGAACTGAGATAGAAAGGCAGAGAAAATGTCCACTCTCTGCAAAGACAAAGTAACTCAAAGCTGCTTGTAGGACCTGACATTTTTTGGAATTCAGTGATCACTACTGTTAGTTTGTAGAGATAAAAGAATTTACAAAACACTGTGATACAGCTTCACAGATCACATGGTTGAATTGCCAGGATTAAAATAGGACAGTAAAATTCTGCCTATGGAGATGAAGCAATAAGGGTACCCGTGAGCTGAATTTCAACTCTCAATTCAGAGTCAGGGAGTCAGCACCTTGCATTATGACTGTACGACATAGTCCTAGGATTGCACTCCAAAGCTAATTTGCATCTCAGAGGTAAGTATTTTTGTGGTCAAAAAGGCAAAGAAGAATTATGCAGTAGGGGAAGGAAAGTCTGATGGTAACTATGTAGAAAGCTTTCCTTTACTGCAGAGTTATCCATAAGGAAGAAAAAAGGCCCATGGCTATTTTGTTGACTCTTTATTGTATGTAGTAGAAACTTGAACTTCAGGTTTCAGATTCACGTTGAAAAATACAGGGAATATCCAGTTTGGTCCTTAGCTTTTGTAAGATTTCTTAGAAGTTTTAGATGGTGTCTAAAATACATCTCTAACTATAGAGGATTGACTATGTGGGAAAATCAAGGTGATTTTTCCTCCAAATGTTTCTCAGGCATTTGAGATAGATTTAAACAGTCTAAATGTAAACCACTTTTTGTCTTAAATTATTCTTGAAATTTTGTAACAGGGGAAAACCAATACTGATGAAAATTCAATGTAAATCATTAAGAAAAGAAAAAGCTGTGGGGGGGGGAAGAAAAGTAGCCAAAGTATTCATCTTTCTATGCATTATGAAGAGAGCAAGTACTTTTTATGTAGAATGCTCTTCAGGTATGAGGAAGGCAAGTACCCTCGTAGAGGACCTAATGGGACTTTAAACCCCTTCATGATTCAGAAGTAAAGTAGTTCTTGTTAGCAATTGAAAATGTTTTTATTGTTATTATTGTTGTTGTTTTTAATACATAAAAAAGAATCATTAGGCAAGCCTTAATTGATAGAGATCTAGGAATAAGTCTATCTGTCTAAAATTTTCCAGACATGTTTTTTAGACTAGAAAATAAACTTCATGGGAAGCGTGAAGGAAAATTGTTTTGGAAATAGAAGACATTTGTATATGTGTTATTTTTGCTTTATAAAAGGAAACAAAATTGCATAAAAGTTTACATTAAGATCACATTTCCTTATGTTTAAGCCTCTGCAAGAGTTTTTGAGGCTTTAGTTTGGGAGCTTTGTTTCTGAGCTACATGCTAGGTGAAAAAGAGATTTTTTTCCCTTTTTCTCAATAGTACTTAAAGAAATACACACATTTTATTTCTCTATCTATAAATATGTAATTATTGTCTGTGGTTTATAATTAATTATTTTTGTAGCTTAAGCTTTTTGATTGTGAAAGTCAGTGAAGCATAGAATTTAAGAATGCCTGATGGTCTACAGTCAAAAAAGCTGAGTGCAAGTGGTAACTTGCTTATGAAATAGCTCTTGCTAGGGCACAGAGTTGAATTTTCTGTGGAATATTGGTTTTGCTTTGGCTGAGTTATAAATGTTTACAGCTGTAAACACAAGCAGAATTCGTTTTGCAGAACTCATAAAATGTATTCCAAAGGAATGATGTATTCTGCATGTGAGTGACTGCACTTGTTTTACAACAAACTCCTCAGACTGCAGAATAGCTGGACAGCTTTTCTAAATATCTTCCCAGAAGTTCAAGATACAGAGGGGATAATTGTTCTGCTTTGGTAGAAAATTTTTGCATTGAAAGCATCTCCTCAGCAAAAAGGAATTTGCAGGAAAAAGATTGCGAGGTTAGACATTCTTGCTTCCTTTTTTCCCTGTCTTTTCTATCAACTGCTTGCTGTCTTGTGTTACTGAAGTTTGTGTTTGTAAGAGGAAAGGTTTCTGAATTATCCCATTGGTTAATCTCAGCAGCTCCAAGTTATTTCTTTTTTCCTATAATGGATTATTCTGTAGTCCCTTGTGCCGGGACATCCCCATTCCCAGGTATGTACCATAGCCTTATGCTGAAACTGTTCACAAGCTGCAGGCTGATTCTTGCTTGGAGGCCAGCAGGAGAGTAAAGGCTATTCATGCTGTGATTAACACTGTTTGTATTCAAAGTTAATTAAAGCTTCAAAGGAAAGGAACAGTATAGAGAGCATATACGGTATCTGAGAATTTCAGTATATGCTTCAGTGAAACCTTCTAAAAACTGAAGCTCATTTTTTAATGTTTATTAAAAAAACCAAAAAGCCAGGAACACCTAAATGTCATGGAAAGCAGCCAGTTTGATGGCAGTAACAGTTGGATAAGTTCTAGATGCAATAGTGTGTGTTTATAGAATGAATCTGGGAAAGTTCTAGATAATCATTATTTTGATTGAGTAGTTGAAAGTAAACATTTAATGTATTTTTTTTATTTTATTTCCCAGTGTCTGAATTTCCAGACATCAGCAAAGTACGCACAACATACTAATCCCGTCAGTTTCCCTAGAGCTTTACAAAGAACAGAGGAAGTCAAGAGGAAAATGCACAGTCATTCATAAGGTTGTGCTACCTTGCAAATAGTGGTGTATTTCCATATCCTAGACCATTTGGCTGTGATTTCTCTCTTTCAGAGATGGTACATAACTCCTGAATGGGGTGTGAGAATCCTCCATGCAGATGACAACTTCGATGTTCTGATGGTGTCAGCATTTTACTCTGACATAGCAAGTAGTTAAAAAATATTATACTTCATGGAACTCACTAAATAAATATTCCATTGTCTCCAAATAGTGGGGGTTTTTTAATTGTATATGAGTTCCAGTGCCTCACCGCCCTCACAGAAAATAATTTCTTCCTAATATATAGTCTAAATCTACACTGTTTCAGTTTGAAACTGTTACCCCTTGTCCTATCACTACACTCCCTGATAAAGAGTCTCTCCCCTTCTTTTCTGTAAGCCTCCCCTTAAATACTAGAAGGCTGCTATAAGATCTGCCCAAAGCCTTGTTTTCTCCAGGCTAAGCAACCCCAATTCTCTCAGCCTGTCCTCACAGGGGAAGTGCTCCAACCCCTGATCATCTTCCTGGCCTTCCTCTGGACTCACTCCAACAGATTCATGTCCTTTTTATGTTGGAGCCCCTGAGCTGAACACAGTACTACAGGTGGGATCTCACAAAAGCAGAATAGGATCATCTCCCTCAACCTGCTGGTCATGCTTCTTTTGATGCAGGCCAGGGTGTGATTGGCTTCTGGGGCTGCAAGCACGCTAGCTCAAACTCAGTTTTTCATCCACCAACATCCCTAAATCCTTCCCTTCAGAAGCTCTCAATCCGCTTATCAACCGGCCTCTGTGCATGAAAGGCAAGGGAACCTGAATAACTTAATAGAATGGAACTCATTAAGATAGGTCAGTAGAAGTACTCTCTGGAACACCTTGCAGATTGAGAGGGATTACTGCCAACAGAGGGATGGGACTTATTTTGGGATGTAATAAGGATCATTTGGGGCTTTCCTGCATAAAACATGGCACAATCTTATAATTAAACCTTTGCAAGGGGAATAATGAGTTCTGTTTGTAATGAAGCTGGATGTTGCTGTTGGGTTTTGGTTTTATCTGTATGGTTTTTGGTGTGTTTTTAAAATAATACAAGAAGATAGAAAAATGAAAATTTAAATAAGCAAACAAAAGAGCTTGGCTTGCCAGAGTTTAAGAAAGAGCAGTCGATTTGTACAGTATGTATCAATATATGTAATTACCTATTTGACAAAGTCATTTTCCTCTCCTGTGTCCTACTGGTATGCTTACACGCTTGCATACCAGTAAATTCCAGGTTGGCCTCAGACCTTGACATTCAGTTCTGGAGAATATTGTGTGTATAGCTTGGACTGTCACAATCTCTTTTGTATTTCTTTGTACCTAAACAGAGAATAACATCTCCAAGAGGAGCTAAGTCTAGTACCTGTCTCCAGTGGTAGATTCAATAACAATGGAAATGCAGACTAATTGTGGGAATAAACTAGGCCTGTGAAGTTCTGCACATACCCTATTCCTGAGCAGTATAATTCAAGAGACTATTAATACTGATCTTCTGATAAAACTGGGGCTCGTACACAGAATTGCAGCCTAGTGCTTAGCTCCAGAAAAAAGCGAATCCATTACAGGATCAACTGGGTCATCGTCCTAAATCTCCCAAAGAAATTTAGTTCCAGAGCCGTAAACAAAAGTGTCTTGGCCTTGTGGAAACCCTCTACAAGACATTTTTGGTTGGTTTTTTTTTTCAAGACAATATTGTAAGGGACAGATACAATTTTAGCCTGCCTTGGAAAAGCACAAAATACTTTTTTTTTAATTTGTTATTTTTTAAAATATAAACAGAAATACTTCTGGATACAACTGGAGAGACCTCAGAGATTGGCTGGACTACCCACCCTTCTGATGGGGTAAGCATTTCCCTTGTCCTCTTCTTGATCGTATCTCTGCTAGGAAAGCATACATGCACCTGATGAAACTGGAACCAATGAGACCTCTTTTATGGATTTTGTACATATTAAAATTTAATAGTTCCCAGTAAGATCTTCTCCATAACACAGTGGAATTGTCTACTCCTGTACTTCTAAAGGATGAGCACTTATGTACTCCTAATTCCTCAAAAGCAGATTCCCAGGGGACACTGCTAAGCAGCTCCCTGAATACGTTAAAATTTGCTCTACTGAAATACAGGTTAGAAACTCTGCTGTCCTTTTTTCCTCATTACAGTGAAAACTTTAACTCAACCATTTAATGAACACTGTGGTCAAGACAGCCGCCTACTATCACATGTCCCACGAGTCCTTCGCCATTCACAAATAGCAAGTTCAGGAGGGCATCTTTCTTATTTGGCCACCACGTATTTGTGACGAGAGGTTTTCTTCCTCAGACTTCAGGATTTTCCCAGACTTGCTTGTCACAGCAGTATGGTATTCTAGTTCATATCTGGGAAGTTGAAATCTCCCATAAGGACAAGGCTACCAATTCAGAGGTTTCCCCTAATTGCCTATAGAATAATTAATCAGTGCTAATATTCTCACTGGATGATTGTAGTAGACACCCACTACAACATTTCCTTTGTTTTCTGTCCCCCTAATCCTCATCCAGAGACTCTCAACCTCTCAACCCTCTGCAAGCGTTGTACAATGTAAGGGTTGTACGATCAGATGTCTCACTTACATACAGCGTAACTCCTCTGCCTCCCCTGACCTAGCTGTCCCTCCTGTACAACCTGTTAGCCTGCCATCCCTGCACTCCAGCTGTGGGACTCATTCCACCAAGTCTCACTAATACCAATGATATCATAGTTCTGGGAACTGAACAATACTTCAAGTCCATTCTGTTTGCTTCTCATACTATATACATCAGTGTACAAGCATTTCAGATGTGTTCCCTTGAGCACTCCATGCTCCCAGGAGCAGAATAAATGTTCCCAATAGTATTGCCACCTTCAGGTGATGCCAAGGCAACCCTTGATTTACTTTAAAGGCTGGTATCCCCTTCCTGCATTGATTAACAGATTAAAGCTGTTAGCTTATGCCTCAAAGCAATCAGTCCCTCCAGCGTACAAGCAAAGACACATTTACCCAGCCAGGAAAGGTGTATCCTGTCAGGCCCCAGTACACTTTGTACCTCAGAGACTTTTCCATGGTTATGAAAAACGTGGCCAGCAGATTGAGAGATGATTCTCCCCCTCTAGTATGCTCCAGTCAGACCTCACCTGGAGTACTGTGTCCATCTCTGGAGCCCCCAACACAAGGGAGACATGGACCTGTTGCCATGGGTCCAGAGGAGGACCACAAAGATAATCAGAGGGTTGGAGCACCTCTCTTATGAAGACAGTCTGAGAGAGTTGGGGTTGTTCAGCCTGGAGAAGAGAAGGCTCTGGGGAGACCTTGTTACAGCCTTTCAGTACTTAAAGTGGACCTGTAAGAAAGATGGAAGCAATCTTTTTAGCAAGGCCTGTTGCTCAGCACAAGGGGTAATGATTTTAAACTAAAAAAAGGTAGATTTAGACTGGATATAAGGGAAAAAATTTTGTACAGTGAGGGTGGTGAAACACTGTAACAGGTTCCTCAGAGAAGTAGTGGAGGCTCCAACCCTGGAGACATTGAAGGTCAGGCTTGATGGGTCTCTGAGCAACCTGATCTGATTAAAACCTGAACATGGGACTACATAGCCTCTAAAGATCTCTTCCAACCCAACATGTTTTATGATTCCATGAAACTAAAAGTTTTGGTGGGGGCATCAGTCCTGAAGCTAGGTATTGATATCTCGAGATCATCTGTTTTTTCTTAAGTCTTTCCCCGTTACTGAGAGGATTGAGGAAAACACTACCTGTGCTCCTGAATTCTTTAGCATTCTTCTCAGGACCCTGGAATCTCTTCTAATTGACCTTATACTTTTTGTTGCAACATCATTCATACCCATATGAAAGAG